TAGATCCAGCAAATGGATTTAGGCCATCTAACAAAAGCATAGACACAGTTTATACATCCATTCCTGCATCTGTGCGTCCATCCATGCATGCATGCATTCATCCATGTGTCCTTCCATGCATCCATCCATCCACCCACTTATTTATTACTTTCTACTACAGCAACAATCTGTTGAAGCTTGTCAGAAAAAGAACCTGTCCTTGGTGCTGCCTCAGAAATCAAATCTAGAGTTTGCTTTCTCTGTTACTAAGGCCATATTCTGAGCATTAACCATCATGTCTGCACCTAATCTGCCTTTCTTCCTCCTTGTGACCATAAGTCAATATTTACTTGAAACCAAACCCTTAACTAGACCTTAATTGCTGCTAGTCTGACATACCTCTTGCTTGAACCTCACCAGGACTTCGCTCCAGTAGGTGGGTTATAAATGATATTCTTCGTCCTTTGATTCACTGTTCTAGGCATAAAAGGTGAATAGCATGTTATGAGGTTTACTGTAACATCCTTGTGTTCAGGTTCAGTGACAGCAACTAAGGAGCAGCAGAGGTGGTGAGCTGACTTGGCTGTGTGCCTTCCAATTCTCAAGTCACTAAAGCTGTTTAACATCAGAATAACCTTAGCCTTTGGTAATAATGTTTTATAGCAGTCTTCCTCTAGTTAATGTGGCAACCAGCCATGCAACTTCAAGTTCAGAGAAATCATGGACATCATTTTGAGAGTACATTATTTTGGAGGATGAAGGTAGTGGAAATATGCATGCCTTGGCAGGTAGTAAAAAGAGACTGCTTTTTAAACACAAATATTTCTGCCAATTAGAATTAATCCTCCTTTAAATTAGTTATTTCTAAGAGTCTTTCATTTCTTTCATTCCATCACTTAATCTATGAAAGAACACAAGTCTCACTCTACTAGGACCCAGCTCCCCTCCTCTTTTCCTAGAACAATGTTTACATCTTGCCAGGCTTCTTCTCGTGTGGCTTAAAGAACCACATGTGTTTGTAGGCATGCTATCAAGTGGTTTAAAGAGCATAAAACTTGCAGTAATATTTTTGGGAGTAAATTTTATTGTTATGGCTTTAAAACACAATCAAATAAAAACAAGAATCCCATTAGTAGTTGAATATTGCAATAATAGAGTTGAGAATAAATTTTACTGTTATAGGAACTATAAAACAGCAATAATAAGAAACACTATTATTGTGAATAAATTGTATTGAAATGACTAACTAGGAAGCTATAAAACACAATAAGAAATAATCTAATCACCAGGAAAGATGTGATAATAATTCACCCTTGTTAGAGAGAAGCCCATGGTTCCAGCTCATTGGCCCCAAGTACTCTGAGTTATTGTTCATGTTCCATGAGGTCACAGAAAGATAATCTTTGGCCACTGGGGTTGGCAGGAGACAACATATTACAGTGAAATTGGACATGAGGTTTGAAGAAAATTCAATCAACAACAACTGCTAGGAAAACTCTGTGTGGTAATGCCAAATGTCCTCACAACATACTTTAAAACTTATTTGCAGGTTTCCACAGGAAATTTGCATGTATTGTTTGACTGCATTTTTGTGTATTTTTATTTTTGTTCATGTTCTCTTATTTCAGAATAACTTCTGGGTCTACCTATTTGGTGTGTGGCAGGGGAACTATTGTGGCTTTGCTATTTGCTTAGGCACAGGTGCATCATTCTGCCTTGTGTCCATCTTGGCAGAAAATGAAAGGAGGACACCCTCAACTCCTAGTCTCACTCCTCCCCCTGGAACTGAATGCTCCATGAAACCCCAGGGCCTATAATTAGCACAGTGGAGATGCCTGCTCTGCCCTTCTCTTGGGTAAGAGGCAGAATTTTGTGGCATTGCATTTTACCCCAAGATCCAAATTCAAGATTTATAAATTAAGTACACCTCAAGGTAGATGCTGGAAGGTCCTAACAATGCAGTTTCCTTCAGGATGCCATTATTTTAGACAAGCTGTGCTGAGTTTCCCATACTTGCTTCTCCACTTTCTTGCTTCTCTTTCCTTCTGGAAATAGCATCAGGCAGGCTTTTGTACCTGGCACTTCTCCACGGCGACTGCTCTCTTCAAGATTCCCAGGAGCTTCCATCCTGAGTGATATAGGGGGGCCTAGTTCTCAATCCTCATTGACTTTAATTCTTAACATTTGCCCCAGTGATAACTTGCACTAAGATGCTTTCTTCGCTGGGCTTCCGGGGCATAGTAGGCTCCCAAGTAACTACAACTCCATGTCAATCCTCTCCCGGCTTTGTACTCGTGTTTGCCTTGCTCAATTACACCTTCAGTGGCAACTTCACTTTGACTGATAACTGCTTTAGACTCAGGCACGTCTGACAGGTTGGGGGTTAACTGTTTTTGCTGCTAAGATTTGGAAGACCTAGGTTTAAGAATTAGGTGGTGCACTCCAGTTGAACAATAGAAGTCACTTGGCCCCAAACAAGCCTTAGACTGCAGAGGGGAGTAGAGACTCTGAATAATGCACACGCATGCTGTAACAGGAGTGAAAGGTGCTCCACCTCTGGTGCCCAGCAGGCCAGGGTGGAAGGAGAGCAGGCAGGAGCTCCTGAGCACAGTGATAGGGGACTTCACCTAGGGAGGAAATTTCTTTCTCCACCTGATGGACTCAAGAGTTGGTATAAATCTGTTTTTAAAGGAGAAATGAAATATCAGATGATAAAGTGTTTTGTCGCTATTAAAGGAGGCTTTTGAGGACCTGATGGAGTTAGTGAAGTAATTGCTTGAATATGTTTCTGCTGAGACATCCACTGACTGACTTACCTTATCTTGATTGTGGGGACAATGTCTCTGTCCATTTTCAGAGACCTGGACTTACAGCCAGCAAGAGAGGTTAAGGATATTCCAGCTCTCTCTGCAGAAGAATGGAGCTTGTGCTGGGGACCCTTTACCTTTTGGGGATGCTGGTTCCTGGGGGGCTGGGATATGATACGTGAGTGTGAAGTGGGAAGAGGGCTGACCATGATTTAGACTGTTCATTCTTTTTACAAGATCAATGCAGCTGGAGTCTCCCCCTCCCTTCCTATCAATACATGGTACCACGAGAATAATAGAGATCACTGAAGTTTTGTTATTGAACATTACTTTAATAAGCCTTGAATAAATAAATATCTAACAAACATTTCCTAGCACAACATATGACAAATACTAGTTGATTTGTCATATTTTGTGATCAACAATAGGAAATTGTAATAAAACATCCATATTTCTTTTCATAGTTCTGAATTGGTAAATCACATTATTCTAATTATTAAGAAAAATGTTTAAAATCATCAAATAATTTCATTTGGAGATAATAGCGGTTAATGTTTTTGGATAGATAAATAGCTAATTATGTTAATAGTATGATTACTGAAATGTCTCAAATAAATGGTTTTATAGAAATTTTCCTATGGCATTCCTCACTCATTCAAAATATATTGCAATTGCTAATAATACTCCATCATCTCATCATTTCTACTTTTTCATTTTCATAAGTAATGTCATAATGAGCAACCAGCTACACTGTTTTTGTGAATCTTTCTTTATCTCCTTACTATAAGTTATAAGAAGTAGAAGGGCTCAGTCAGAGGCTGAAAGAATGTAAGGATCTTACCACACAGTGAGGAGCTACCCTCTACAAAGGTCTGTCAGTTTACGCTTTCAACAATCAGGAATGAAAGGACGTTTTGTGTTTTTGCCATTTTGACAAGTGAAAAATACCCACTGTTGAATTCCTGTGTATTTTATTGATTTATAATAAGGTCAACTATTTGGTCTTGCTTATTACTTCATTATTTTATAAATTGTGCATCCATGTTATCTGCCCATTTTTGTGGCCTTTGCCTATTCTTAAGGAAACATAACTTCTCTAAGTATGTATATTAAATTGTGTGTTTGTGTGTAGTTTCTTTATAAAGTACATTTAAGTATATTTCCTCTTGCTCATACATAGCTCATATACAGCTCCTTTGGCATATTTATAAAGTATGGTTATAATTAGTGTTTCTTCTTTTGCTTTGTGGTTAATCTTTCAAGAAACTTCGCACAGAAAAGAAACCCACTCTGAATTTCGCCCCACACTGCATGACTGCAGATTGTCCCTGTCCTAATAGTATGATTTCAGATACAGAAAGAGACCTCAGTATCTATTTGATGTCAAAAACCTATTTGGACATCTCTTCCTCCTTTCTTCCACTGATTTACTTGGTTGGAAGACAAAGAGTCTTCTTTCATGTGGAAAAAAATTAGGTTGCTTAAAAATATCAAGAAACTTAAAACTTAGACATCTTTTGTCCTACTGTCCCTGCTTCTGGAAATCTATACTGAGGAAATAAAGTAGGGAGAGAATTTTATACAGTGAAATAAAGTTTTATTTATAATATAAATATTATAATATTTAGAAATAATGTTTCATATTAAGTTATATAAATGCTATGTGATATATGACAATAAGATTTATTTAGTAAAAATAATTATGAAAAATTTCAAAGCATGAGAAAGTGCATGTTTTAGGCCATAGGAAGACACAGAATACAAAATGTAATAAAATACTTAGAAAAACAAAAGAACAAATATATGCCAAAAAAGTAATTGCTCCTTATTATCTATCTTTTATCTTGCTCTTGAAGAAACAGGGAGATAGATACTTTGCAAATGGGAAGAGGATCAAGAGATAAAGGGAGCAGGGTAGAAAAAGAGAAGAAAGGGAAGTAAAAAATTAGGATGTGGTCTGTACATGTACCAACTCCCCATGATGAATGTAATCAATATCTACTGCAAACATGTACTTATAAAAAAATTTCATCAAGTAAACCACAAAGCTAATTGTTATCTTTGGTTAATGATTTTTTTCCTTCCCTCAAGTATCCTCCAGTTCACAAATATTCCACAATGAACATGCATAACACTGTTATTTAAAGAAAAATATTGCCAGGCCCAGGTTAAATTATGGAAGTGATTAGGCTCAGGCAGAAAGACTCAGGTAAGATGGCGTACGTTCCAGGGCTCCTTAGGACTATATTTGAGAAAAACATTTCAAATATGCTTGCCCATGTCGTTTGTGGAGATTTTATTGTCATTATAATTTGCTGATATGAAATAATGTTTAGCTTTGGATTACTGTTACTGACTCAGAACATAGGTTAGCTGCAACTTTTGAAAGTCCTTGTTCACCAGAGGTGATAATACTCTAGAAAAATCTGAAATTAAATAAGACTAGAAGCTTGTAATCTTTATCTTGAGTGTTTATGGAGATAGACATTCGTAGTCCTCCAAAAAAGTGTACATCTATAAAATCATTTGAGATTTATCAATGTCAATCAAATGACTTCAAAATGTTCAACCTCTTTGACCTACAATTTCCTTTTCTAGTTCAAAGAAATAATCAGAAATGAGAAAAAAAGATTTATACAAAAAGTTATTAGCTATAGAATTATTTAAAATGGCAAGATTCCCAATAGAGAAACAGCTTTATCCAGAATAGGAGAAAAATTTTAAATAAATGATGTCAAGTATTTTGCAGTTATTAAAAATTATGTTTAGAATGAATTTGCATTGTTTTGAGGAAATGTCTCTGGTAAGATACAGAATGCAAAGGAATTAATACGAAATTATACATATATATAATCTCTGGTAAATATAGGCATATATAAAAGACTCAAAGGAAATATGCTAAAATACTAAGAGTTCCTAACACAGGAAGAGAAGGATATTGGGAATTATTCCTCCCTTTTTATCTATTTTTCTGCTGCTTTTTCTCCTCTCTATACTTCCTAAGATCTCCCCTTTAAGTGCATGTTAATTTTGTAAGCAGAAAAATAAAAATTGAAAATACATTACTACATAAAATATTCATGTGACTGTTTCTCCACTAAGTACTTATAATACAAAATTTGCCTTTATATTCATTATTTTTTTGCCTTCTTATACATTCCAGTCAAAATTTCATCAGTCAACCTTTGATCTACAGCATTTATTAATAATGTACCTCAAAGGATCATTTTCTCTGTTAAACATTTTATGAATTTCTGTTTAAAAAGAATACACAAAGTACAGTAATCTTCTCATTTACTTGGTAAGATGTGTGGTGATAATTTGGGGGATTATCCAGCTTTTTCTTTCCCTGTCTACATGCATTATGCATCACCCAAGAAATACCTAAAAATTGGAAATAGCTTTTCTAAGTACATGGTTTAAATATTCACTAATTCTAAGTATTAGAATCTCTGAGGTCTAAGTATTGTGTTTTAGTTTTGTATGAAGATGGGAAGCACTTTTAATGTTAGAGGTTTTCATTCATATCCTAGACCATTCTAATATGGAAACTTTTGCATATTTAATGGACCCAGTTGTTCAATGCTGGGTTTAGGAAGCAACATATCCATTTTTTAGAATTTAGCTAGGGGAAAATCCAGATGCTAGTGCTTGATGGTGTTCAGTTTTCTTTACTCCCTTTATGTTGTGACATTTCTAAGGGATCCCAGGTCACTTGAATCAGAAATCCACCAGGTACAAGCCATGCTTTTTTAAATACAGTCACCCCCTCCCTATCAATGGACACCAGTTCAACTGCCTTGGATTGAAAATGTCCCCTTCTTCCCAAATTGTCTGTACTGAACATATCTAGATGTTTTCTTTGTTATTATTCCTTGCACATTACCGCATAACAACAATTTACAAAGCATTTACATTATATTGAGTTTTATAACTAATATAGAAATGATTTAAAATATACAGGAGGATTGCCTAGGTTAGATGCAAATACTACAACATTTTATTCTTGACCATCCTGGGACTAATTCCCCACACAAACACCAAGGAATGACTCCTTCCTTTCATACTCCACTGAGCAGATAACTATGATAAGGAAAAGGCCAAACATTTGCTAAACCACACAAAGACAGGAAGAACAGCCACCACCCTGTTCCTTGCACTATTGAGAAAGCATCTTCAGTGACTACATTTCCGTGCAGGACAACTTGTGTTAGCAATGAGGGGAAAGAGAGCCTGGAAAGATATCCTCTGCATTTGTTCCCTTTCGCCTCTTTCTCCCATTCTGCAAAAGGCAGAATGGCTTGGTTATGCAGAATCGTTTTTGGTTATGCTTGAGTTTGGAGTGCTCTCTTTCCTGACCTCAATACACTTTTTTTTTTTTTGAGACAGGGTCTTGCTCTGTAGTTCACACTGGCCTTGAACTCACTGTGTAGCCCAGGCTGGCCTTGAAATTTCAGCCATCCTCCTGCCTCAGTCTCCGAGTGCTGGGATTACAGTTGTGCACCATCATGCTCAGTTCTCATCTCAATATACTTTGGACACCATTTAGTTGGTATATAATCAGGCACTAGTTTGTAATACCTCATACTTTCTTATTTAATAGCTAAATTATTTTGCTTTTCATGTGTTTATATCTTATTTTCTTTAGAGGATTATAAAGGGCAAGAGAGAAATTTTTATTGCTACTATTACTAATTTTTTTTTTACTATTACTAATTTTTAAAAGTAATAAGAATGCATACCTATTAGATTGTTAAATGAATTAGTAAGATAGTACAAAATGGTTTTACCAGTCCCTAGCATGTATTACTTAGTAATGGCTAACTAGTGTTATTATAAGATGTATTTGCTGATTTGTTAAGACATGAAGTGTGTTCCTGAAAATTTATGTTGAGTGGACTTTTATGAATTTTAAACACACTAGGGAATATATGTATTTTTCTTTATAAATAGTATAAAGATCGTATCTTTTCTAAAGCAATCAGTCTCAATGTATTACTTGTACCAATATTTATATTTGTATTGAAATTACTCACTTGGAAGCACAGTTGTTTATTTAAAAATACAGTGATGGCCAAACATTAGAAATGAATCCATGAAAAAAATGAGTAAACATATTTTCTTAAATTATTACAATATAAATAATATTTCTTTAAACCTCTTTCTAAAATTCATAATCAGTGTTTCAGCTATTGGCAAGTTATTTGGACAACCCTATCTCATGAGGTTTCCATTTGGACAAGCAAAAGATGAGAAAATTTGTTCAAAATATAATAAAACATTTACAATTTGGGGGTCAAAAAGATTCTGTTAAATTCAAATTGTTAGAATTAGTATTACTAATAATTAACAATAATGCATGTAACTTCAAGTTTAAAGCAGTAGAATTGTGTGGAGAAACTTGCTTCCATTAGAGTAGTTAATGGTGGTACATGGTGCTAGATGCACTAGGTAAAAAATTATATAGAGAATATAGTGTTGGACTTAGGTAGACATGAGTGAAATTTGTTTTAATTAATACTATCAAAATATTTTGTAGTTTGACACAGTTTGAGAAAAATACTAGTTGCATGGCTTGTTCTCTGTACAAGTATTTTTAATGTTATCACAGCTAAGTACAGATTTTGCTTTGTTTTGAACTACTGTGTTTAACATTTGTTGAAATTAACTCTATGTAAGAAACTGCTCATTGCCAAATGAATTAGTTTATCTAATCTCATAAAAATTACTTGGGAGTGGTACTACTAAGGTAAAATACCATAAAAGTTCAAAAACATGTGATGTAATAGTTAAAAGCCCTTGAAAATTAGCTAACTAGATCTCTCACACCTTTCCTCCTCCTATCCAGGACCACTATACAAAAGTCTGCACCCCAGCATCTCCAAAACTTCACATCCCAGTGCCATTAACACAGTAACCACTCTGTACATCTTTTCTGGGCAAAGGAGTTATCAGCTATAGAATCTTGCAAAGAAAATGTGACCCCATTTCTAAAATAAAGCCTTCTGGCTAGGGAACTAAACCATCCATCAACTGTTTGTGTGCCTTTGCAATGCAGTACTAGTTCTGTATCTCCTTGCAAGTTCTGACTTCTTTCAAGTTACTTAATTTCTTCTTGTCTAGTTTCTTCATTTATAGAATGTGAACAATAACATTTTACATAGCTGCAATGAGAAGTTACATACTGTGTGTGAATATGTTCTTTCAGATGCTAGCACAATATCTGGTGTAGACAAGGCACTGAATGATAGTATTAAGCTGTTTGCCAAAAGATAAATCCTAAGTAAATAGTTGGAACAAGACCAACAAGCCTATAACTATTAAATACATTTAGTCAATGATTAATAACTTTCTAAAACAGAAAGAACTAGGCACAATGGGTTCAGTGGTGAATTCTACCACACATTTATCGAAAAAATTATTCCAATTCTCTACAATCTCTTCTGGAAGTTAAAGTAAGAATCCTCAACAAAACATCAGCAAATCCAATCAAGTGATGTATAAAAAGAAGCATACTCCATGGCCAAATGGGGTTTATCCCAATTATAAAAGGCTTATTCAACTTTCAAAGATAAATTGATGTTATCTGTCACAGAAGGAAAATTATATCACCATATCAACAGACACAGAAAAAAACATTTGAAAAATTCAACACCCATTTATGATAAAAAAGGGCACAGCTTCCTCAATTTAATGAGATTATCTCCACAAAACAGCTAACATCATACTTAAAGGTAAGAAACTAAAAGCTTTCCCACTAAGATCAATTAATGAAGGATGTCTGCTCTCAACAGTGTTTTCCACCTTGTACTAAAGCCCTACTAATGCAATAAGACAAGAAAAGTAAATAAAAGATATACAGATTAGGAAGGAAGAAATAAAACTCATCTTGTTTACAAATGACATGAGTATGTGTTTACAAAATCAGAAAGGATCATCAGCAACAACAAAAATCTCCTGGAACTAATAAGCAATCATAGCAAGGTTACAGGAGACAAGGCTAACATAGAAAAGTCAATTGATTTCCTATATACTAGCAGTAAACAAGTGAAGTTTAAAATAGAAAACATGCTATCATTTACACTAGTACCCTTTAACTGAAATATGTGTGTATAAATTAACAAAATTTCTATAAGGTCTATATAGTGAATCCTATTAAACTTTCATGAAAGATGTTAGAAAAGAACTAAGTAAGTGTAGATATGTATTATGTTCATGCATAGAAAGACTTAATGTTGTCAAGATATCAATTCTTCTTAACTTTATGTATAGATTCAGTGAAATCCCAATCAAAGTCCAAGCAAGTTACCTTATGATTTTCAACAAATTAATTCTGAAGAGTATGTGGAGAAGACCTAGAATGGTCAACACAATATTGAAGAAAAATAAAGTCAGAAGACTGCACTGAGTTCAAGACTTAATATACAGCTACAGTAATCAAGAGAGTGTGGCGTCAGCGAAAGCACAAATAGATGAAGGGAAGACCACAGGATACCTAGGAGTAGATTTACATAAATGTAGTCAAGTAATCTTTGACAAAGAAACAAAGATAATAAAACAGAGCAAAAAATATTCTTTTCTACAAATAATGCTAGAACAATTAGATGTCCACATATAAAAAATGTGAATCACAAACATTAATTCAAAAATATATCATAGACTTAAGTGTTAAATGCAAAACTATAATATTCTAGATAATAATTTAGAAGAAAGCCTAGATGATTTTGAGCATGCTGATTACCTTTTAAATACAACAGAAAAAGCACAATCCATGGAAGAAATAATTGATACTCTAAACTACTTTAAAATTATAACTTCTACTTCGAAAGAAAACATCAGGATAATAAGAAGACAAGCTGGAGAAATGTTTACAAGAGGTGCAGCTGGAAAAAGTATGTGATCTAAAACATGTAAGGACCCGCTAAAACACCAGATTTTAAAAAACAACCCTATTAAAATGTAGATGAAAGACCTAAACACATAACCTTACCAAAGAAGATATAGAGAAGGCAAGAAAGCATAAGAAAAGGTACTCTGCATGATGATGCATCATTAAAGAATTGCAAATTAAGACAATAATGATTTACCACTACTTATCTGTTAATTAAAGTGTACAGATCCAAATACCAACAGCACCAAATGCTCACTAGGGAAGGAAGAAAGCAGCACTCTACTGCTGGTGGGAATGTGGAATGGCATAGCCTTTTTGGAAGACAGTTTGGCAGTTTCTTACCAAACTAAGCATTCTTTTACTGTATGATTCAGCAGCTGCACTTTCTAGTATTTACCCAAAGGAATTGAAAACAGGCACACATAAAAACCTGCACATGGAGTTTATGAAAGCTTTACTCATAATTCAAGCTTCAAGCCCAAACTTGGAAGTAATCAAGATGTCCTTCAGTCAATGAATGGACAAACTGGTCCATTTGGACAAAGGAACATTACACAGCACCTAGCAAGAAATGAGCGCTCAACCCATGAAAAGACATGGAAGGAGTTTAACACATATTAGTAACTGGAAGAAGACAATCTGCAAAGGCTATCTATACACTCTGTGCTTCCAACTTATGACATTATGAAAAAGAAAACTACAGAGGCAGAATAAAATAAATAGTTGTGAGGGGATGAAGAAGGGAGGGATGAATTAGCAGAGTATGGAGAATTCTGAGGGCAGTAAAACTATTCTTATGTCACTATAATGGTTGATATGTGTCATCAAACACTTGTCTAAAGCAATAAAATGTTCATAACCACATGAACCCTAATGTAAACCCTAATGTAAATCCAGGTTCACTGGCTATAATTAATGTACCACTGTTGTGGGGTGTCCAGGGTGGAGGTGGTTTGCATGTGTAGGGACACAGGCCATAGGAACTACCTAACTTTCCACTTGATTGTGCTAAAAGTGCTCTAAAAATAATATTTTATTAAACACAAGATAAACCACTATAGAAAGATTAGTTCTCACCATGCTACTCATCACAGTAGTTAATATTACAAGCTCCTCAGTCAGTTTTTCAGGACTTAAATCCCAATAACACTTTTACTCTGATTCAGTTTCTCCATCTCTGAAATAGAGATAATAAGAGTATCCATCGCAGAGTTTTAGAGAGGAGCAAATGAGATTTAAATTGTTTAGAACAGTGTATGTCTCATAAAAAGTTTCAGTTCAATAAATCTTAGCTATTTTTTTCTTTTGTAAGTCTAAAACAGCTTTTTAAAAAATCTACACATTATTAAATTTTCTGACCTCCCTGCAAGAACAGAATGATTGTCCTGATTTTATAGATGAAGAAATTGTGACTTAAAGTTGCTAAACAATTGCCCATGATCATATGTTAGTAAATTACAGAGTCAAGACTCCAATACTGGCTCTTGTACTTCAAATCCTGCGCACAGTGCTTTCTACTACTTTTCTCACCAACCTTCTAACCCTCAGGGCATCCTACTCTCTTCACTGTGATGTCTTTTGTTCTTCCCTTTGCAGATCCTTAGCACTGCACAGAAAACAAGTTATAGACAAGACAGTGGGTCTGGGCGAGCACCTGGAGACCTATTCCTGTAGCAAATACCATTCCATGGCAGAAGTGAGAAAGGATACATGGGAGGAGAATGTGGGGAGTCACCATCTATGTTAAATGCATAGCAAGACTCAAAATATGGGGTTAGAAACTTCTGTTGACATGTTTCAAGAAAGGCATATGGAAGTCTTGCCTAATTTTGGAACACTAGCAATGGATACTGTTGGTGTACCAGTCTGCCTCTCTTTACTATAATTAAATACCAGAGGGAGGCTGATATTATAAAGAAAAGAAGTTTATTTAGATCAAAATTTTGGAATTGAAAGTCCAAACATGCAGTCGCCAGTGAGGACCACTGGCCTTGGCTGAATCATCTCCTAGGGGATGGTAATGGCAGGATCAAAGCAGGAGCCTAGAGAGACTCAGGGCTTAGGCTCAGACCTTCATAACATTTGGCTCTGAAGAGCATACATGCCAGGAGACCAGTACTCCCTTCTGAGGGCAGGGCTCCAAATGACCCAAGGATACCACAGTAGGGTGCAGTCCTTGAGGGCTGCAGCTTCCGCATCACCACGCAAGAGTTTAAGTTTCTAACACAAAAGCTTTTAGAGTTCAAAGACCATCCAAACCATATTGAGACCCATGAATACCAAAGAAGGTCTCACCCACAAAATAAACTTGACCTAAAATTTCTGGCATGACTATGTACTGCCTTATGGCCATGTGAAAGATGTATTATTATACATTATCTCCAAGATTTTATTGGTGGATTATTGAAATTATGACCAATTATATACCTGTAAAATTCAGTATGGTGTCCTAAGAACTTGTGACAGGGTAGATCTTTAAAGAAAAGGAAAGGTGGGAGATGATAAGGCCTTTGTTCAGTTTTCTGTTTTGTTGACCACATAGCTGTGCAGCCTAGAGCAGAATACAGAGTCCGATGTCTTAGTGAAAGAATCATCATAGCCAGAGTCAGTCGCAGAATCTTGCTGTCATAGCTGTGTCCTCTGGGCTGTTTCAGATCTATGAGTGGATGAGCCAGGTCAGTGAGAAGTATGCAGAAGTGGTGATGCAGCATTTCCTAGGGATGACTTATGAGTCCTGGCCCATGTATTTGTATATCTGAAGGTCAGTTCAAAGACTGAGAAGTACCTTATTGGGAGAGGTCTGAGGATGTTGTTTATTATTCTACTCTATCAGGAATGTGAAAAAAGTTCAAAGAAGCAGTGCAGAAGGTATGCTCCAAACTGGGCTTGTAAAATTCAAGATTGTAGATGTTTATGTCTTAATCATGTGGAGGAGACTGAGGCAGGGTAGGGTAGGGCCTAAAAACAACAGTCCCTGAAAGTGGATCACACACTGCTCAAGCTTCACCAGAGCTAGCTCATGTCTCATCTGTATTTTAAGTGGTTTTTTGGAGGGTCTTTGGTACCGGGGATCGAACTCAGGACCTTGCACTTGCCAGGCAGGTGCAGCACCACTGAGCTACATCCCCAGCCCTTAAGTGTTTTTTAATGTTCTTTTTTAAAGAGATTATTTTTCATAAAAATGTTTAAAAACCACAGACAACCTTCATTTTCGTTTCTTTCATTTTATGGTTGAGGGAACAAGAACAAGGAAGTAAGGTGACTTGAATAGGATTACACAGCCAGATATGGATAGTTGCATAGACAGTGGGACACCATGTCTTCTAGTTCTGCTATCCCTTTTTCATATGACATGGTGAAAAGTATTTAGGGTCTGATAGTCATTCTCCAGAGGACCAGCACTGCTGGAGTCCCCGTTCTGGGCCAGTGACATTTCTTGCCTGGATGCACATTAAAATCATCCTGGGGAGCTGCCAAGTACTCCTGTGGCCTAGGCTTTACCTGCAGAGACAGTGGCCTAACTCTTCCAAGAAGGGGCCCCAAGGGATCCTAATATGTAGCCAGAACTAAAAACCATTGCACCAAGCCAGTGGTTTCTCAACAGTGGTCCTTAGACGCAAAGCATCAGTACCACTTGGGAACTTGCTAGGAATGCATGTTCTCAGCTCCGACTTCTGGTCAACTGAATCAGAACCTCTGGGGATGAAGTCTCTGTGTCTGTGTTTCAGCAAGCCCTCCTCCAGGTAATGCTGATGCACACTCAAGTTTTAGAGCCACAGTGTGTTTCTACCAAGTTCCCAGGAGCACAGATATTGCTAGTCCAGACCGTCTTTAGGAACCACTATCAAAGTTGTTTGACATTAAGAATTTTGTTTAGTTTGATGTCCTTATACTACTTGGTGCAGGCATGTCCATTGACAAAGAACAACACCATATTTGAGAATTGTCTACAACCCCCAAAACTGAGGAGCTCAGAAATAGAATCTACCCAGGGGTTGAGTAACAGGTGATATGTTAAGTGTGGGGTGACCACCAACCTGATTTTCTATGAACCCCCAAACTCTGAGCTGAGCCAGCCAACATGACATTTAAGGATCCTCCTTCTGGGCCATATTATAAAGAGGAGAATGAGTACATTATGAAGCAGTAAATATAAACATATAATTGACTTGCACATACAGTACTCATAAAAGAGTTAATTATAACAGAAGATCAAGCTGAGAGGTGGATGTAAAAAACCTGAAATACTATAAATAAAGAGCAAAATGAGAGAGAGATAACAGGAAGTGGGGTTATAGAGTTTTCTCAAATGGGAAAGGATCAAGAGATGGAGGGAGGGGGACAGAGGAGAGGAAAAGGGGATACAAAAATGAGATGTGTTATGTACATGTCCCAATTCCCCACAGGAGCGTAAATATTATTAATTCAAACATGTACTAATAAAAAATTGAAATTAAAGAATTATCTTGAAAATTTTGAAAGAGAGCTGACACTAGAAGGAGAAAGTTCCACGAATATGACAGACCCAGTCCCTTGTTTATTCAGTTTGTTAATATCACATATAGAGGGAGAGAGACTCCATCAGTCCGGCTTCCAGAGGCCTCAACAAACAGCACGAGTCTAGGCCATTTAAAAATCCAAAACTGATGTGACTCTTACAAGCTGGTCCCAGCCTCTTCATCACCAAAAAAAATCCACAATTGCCAATTTAATTCTCACCCACTCATCTGAAGGAGGGCATCTTTCTGTTTGTTTGTTTGGTTTTATTTCCTTACTTAAATTCTTTTATTGGTACATTGTAGGTATACAACACAATTACATTTCTCATTGGGAATTGTACCTTTACATAATGCATCTTGGTTCTTATTTT